GGCAGTTTAGTACATTGATTGAGGACCCTTCTCAGTAGAGTCTGCGCTTCCCTGCCTCTTTGCACGCCTGGTCATCTTTGGCTGTGAATCTTACCTGGTTGGCCCCTGGGTACTTTTGTATTATTTTAAATGGTCTTATGCACTTCGGGGAGTGGGGGCAGTTGAGCACAGAGCTCCTGTCCAACCTTCCTTTTCTGACTTGTTGGGCAAGTTTGGAGCCTAGCTCCATCCAGGGCTAGTTATTCCCCAGACCGGAGGCAAAGTCCTCCTGGTGTTTTTCTCGATACTGTGTGAATGGCCGGTGTTCCCTGTCGGCCTGGTAGGATCAGGCACTGTTTCGGGCCTCATGGGAGCATGGCTTGTTTGTTTGTTTGTTTCCCCTGGCCTTGGCCAGTTTCCTCATACACTTGAGTGCCCAGCACCCTGCTGGGGCTGGAAGGAGACCTTCTGCAGATTCCGGGGGCTTCTCGCTGTGCACTGTTTCCCTGCTCGGATCCCCTTGTCCGTGGCCTGGGGAAGTGGGACTGGACAACAGGAATGGACTCTCACAGCTCCGAGGAGGAAGAGGAGCCAGGAGTGGCAGGGAAGAACTAGCCTCAGGTTGTGAGGCAAGGCCACTCCCAGAGGGTCCTGGCTGAGAGAAGAAACTCAGAGACTGACTGGGGGAGCATTGATGATACATCGGCAGTGGAGAGGAGCTCCGGGCCAGTTGAATTGCATCAGAACCACCACCAGGGCTTTGATGCTGTACCTTCCCCTTTTCTAGTATATATTTCACAAGGAAATAAGTTCTTTAGCAGATGGAAATGAAAAAAAAAAAGAAGCCTAAACAACACGAAGGTGGAAAAGCTGTGGATGCCATTGCTTGTGATTGAGGCATGTCTCAATCACATTTCCCCAACCATGCCCTTTACCACAGTTAAACTGGGGAGGAGAAAGAGGGAGGTGGCCATGGGTGTGGTTTGAGCTCAGGAAGTTTCCTTCGAAGGATGTGAAGGAC